GCCTTGCTAATAGAAATGAATAACATAGAAGCTAGTATGTGATACTAGCATGGATACATCAATACAATCGTCGTCGTAGGACAACTCCGACTATAACTTACCTTGCAATATTCTCTGATGACGTAGTTGTTACGTGGTCAACAAAATAATGATATTGGTTGGCGCACAACACTCCTTTTAAGGAAAATTATGTAGGACAGAATATCGTTCCGGATCACACGTGATGCTCAAAATTAAAGTTTGTTGATCCTATGACACCAATGTGGTTCGGACCATTTTCCTCCAAGCAAAAGTTAGGCACATACAAAAATGTAGCAACAGGTTTTTAATGATGGGTTTGTAACAGAACCGGCACAAAGTAACACGATTTGGAGCAGTTTGCTCTGTTGATATTTTGGGAAATTGCATGCTAAATTTATTTCGAAGATTTGCGCGTGACCGCGGCACACGCGGCGATATAGCCAATATACGCTATATATATATGTCGCTAACATATACAGAGTGTGTATACCATTGTGTTTTCGTGTTGTAACGCTGCCCCGCGCTCGGTGCAAAAATTGCCCACTTTTTGAATGTTTTTGAACGTGGAATGTAAAAAAAATAAAACTGTGAAAAAAAATAGCCCAGGCAACGTGTCATGATCTGTAGAATGTTCCGCCCAAGTTTGGAGAGGATCCGTTGAGCGGTGCGGAAACGTATAGCCGGACACACACATACACAGAAATTCCCCAAATTATATTTTTTATAGATTCTATGGTCTAAACAGAGGAATTGCTCCGACCTGTGATTGGAGGATAAAAATAGAATTCGTGACGTTTCGTTTCACCGGCCATAGCCGCGCGTGTATTAGCCTATGAGCGATACCGCGCGTGCATATTTGCTAATTAATCAGACTCCTACTAATCGTGCTTCTATAAACTCAAAATTCACAGAGATTATAGCTAGGACATGTGTCTATAATAGCCAGAATTTATAGAAATATAACTCAAATCGTTTGCGCCATATGATTGTACATTTTTCTTTCGGCCATAGCCGCGCGTGTATTAGTCTATAATTATGAGCGATACCGCGCGTGCATATTTGCTAATTAATCAGACTAATCGTGCTTCTATAAATTTACAGAGATTACAGCTAAGACAGCTATCTATAATAGATAGAATCTATAGAAATGTAACTCAAATCGGTCGTGCCATATGATAGTTAGTACACTTTCCTACCGGTCATATATAGCGTAATAGCGTATGCAAAATAAAA